ACAAAGTAGCTTGCTTACTCTTGATAGAATCAGCATATATTCATATGGGAGACTCTACAAATAAGATAATAAGTATAGGCATTGCATGTACAAGTATGTACCTGTTTTGAATTCAACAAGTGCATGGGAAGAGTCGGTCCCTGGTGGTTTCTATAAACCAATTAGCATTCTTATCTGAGAAGTAGAAATTGTTGCAAGATGAAAAGGTTTGCTAGGCTGTCTCCAGTTCAGCAATACTCGCTATCAGTGAATTAATGGACACTGTAGAGATACTAGTTGGCTGAAGGACAAGGGAAATGGGAAACAGACAGATAATTACAGATCTACAAGTTCTATTTCAATCCCATAAAATGGCATTGACTATCAGAATAAACGAGACAATTATCTGTACAATAACAACCTAGTTGTTAAAAACAGTTGTCAGCATATCTTTGGAAAGGGAAGAGACTGGTTGATTAACATGTCAAATTCTTTGAGGAGTAATAACTCAAATGGACTTCTATATTGTGGCTGAACTCAATGTCTAAAACTAATTGGACAATATTTCACATGAAGAAATACAGACACTTTAATGTGTCAGGGATAGTCATGGGAATAGGTAGGAGACTGGCTGAAGAGTAGGAAATTCCTGGTTAAAGGGGGAATGTCATTATTGAGGAATCAGTGGTGGCAATGGGAAGAGGAGGACTGGAAGAAATGACCAAACAGGTTTCCGTTTCCTGCCTTCAGCTGACTAATTCAAATCAAAGATGGGAATATGAGGATATCAGAGCAGCTGGCTGGTTTGGACCAGCTCCTGATTTTATTTTTCATTTCTGTCAGGCAACCAATTGCAGCTGATGAAAGCTTTAAGAATGCAGTGGAACAGGAGCTCACAGACAGTAGGAGGAGTTGGGTAAAATATTCCTGGTGGTCAGAATGAAGACAGATAAGATCTGAGGCTGACCTGAAAAGAAAATGGGGTTAAAGTAATCCGGAAAGAAATTGCAACTGATTTAAAACTGTTGCCATAAACTCAATACAGACAGTTAAGTCAATAACATAGACTGTAGAGTCCCTATAGTGTGGAAACAGGCTCTTTGGCCCAACAAGTCCACACTGACCATCTGAAGGGCACCCTACCCAGACCCATCCATAACCCTGCATTTCCCATGGCTAACACATCTAATCTACACATCTTTGAACACTACGGGCAATTTAGTATGGCCAACCCACCTATTTAGACTGTGGGAGGAGACCACAGTACCTGGAGGAAATCAGAAGAATGTGCAAACTCCACACAGACAGTCACCTGAGGGTGGAATCAAACCTGGATCCTTGGCACTGTAAGGCAGCAGTGCTAACCACTGAGCAACTGTGCCATCCTTTTACTCTGAGGGTTGTGAAGCTTTACAATTCTCTACCAGACAGAGCTGTGGAAGCTCAGTCCTTCGGTATGTTTCAGGTCATGGGAGTGGAAATCGTAAATTCAGAGTATTATTCCCAGCATTAATTTAAAGGAAGATGTGGGTTCAAACTAGTAACAAATGTATATTTAAGATAGGCACCTTATTTATAAAGCCTGGAATAGACTTTCAGATGAAGCAGTGGAAAATTCTCACATTATTTAAACAGATGCTGGAGATGAAAAAGGTGTATAATTTTACATAGATGCGTATTATATGCGCACATCCTACTCATATCCATGTATGTAGATCATGTCCATACGTATAGAGACATATACGTCCTTTGAAAGGAGCAACCCAATTAGTTCCACTCTTCTGCTCTTTCCTCATAGTCCAAATACATTCCATTCTTAATTAAACATCCAATTCCCTTTTTACTGTTGAATCTATTGTAACCAGATTTTCCAAAGAGTGTGTTCCAGTTCTTAATTAATCAATCTGCGAAAAATAGTCTCATCTTGCCTCTAGTAACCTGTTCGACGACCTTATATCTCTGTTCTCTGGTTACATGGTTAAAGCTATTTTGAGGTTAAATGGTTAAATCACCTCATTTAAATTCAGAGTAGCTACAAGGTTTTTCAGGGAACGACATTGTTAACATGACTTCTTCCTACATCAACTCCCACACAGTAATTACTGACAATCTGATTCATATCATCACAGAACTGTGTTTACTTTCACTTTCATCTATTCCATCAAGAAAAAAAGAATTTAATGTGAGAACTGAAAGGTAATTCTATGACTTAATTAGCAGAACAGTTCATCAGTCTGGTCTTGATGATAATTACTCCATTTTTGACCCAGTTCAGTTTATAGAAAGAGTTTGGAGTGAGCCCCAGCTTGCTTTGTAATGTAGCTGTGGCTCAATGAATTGGATTCTTACTTTTGAATTAAGAGGTTGTAGGTTCAATCCCCACTCCAGAAACTTGAACAGATGATCTAGACTAACACCCCAGTGTAGCAATGGGTTAGCGGTACACTGTCAGTGGGTGTTGCCTTTTCGATGGAACATTAAACTGAGTTCTCTCTGCTCTTTTATGTGGGCAGAAAAGATCCAATGAAGTACAGTGAAGTTCTCTTCAGGTTTCCTCGGTGATGTTTATTCCTTGACCAAAAATACATGATCTGGTTTTTATCCTACAGTTGTTTGTGGGAACTGTTATGCATTAATTGCCTACCAGGTTCCCCTGTGTTGTGAAAATTACACCACTTCAAAAGCACTCAATGGGCTGTAAAACTCTTCAGGAATGTCCTGAGGTTGTCAAAAGTGCGATATCACAGAAATGTTACAGTGCAGAAACAGACCATTCGGACCATCATCCCTGCACTGGCTCTTCCAATGACGAGCAGGAATTAGTGCCATTCTCCTGCCTTTTACCCTATACCTTCACATATTGTTCCCTATTTAAATAATTATAAGGCCCTGTTGAATAGATCAATTGAATCTGCCTCCATCACACTTTCAGGCAAGGCATTCCAGAGCTGAACAATTCATAGTTATTTGTTTAATGACCTTAAATCTCTGTTCTCTGGTTGCAACGTTAAAGGTATTTTCTGAGGTTAGATGGTTAAATCACCTCTTCACATCACATTTGCTTCTTTTGAAAATCACTAAATCTGTGCCCTCTCATTCTTGATCCTTTTATAAACAAGAACCAGGCAGGACATTGGCTCAGTGGTTAGCACTGCTGCCTCACAGCACCAGGGACACTGGTTTGATCCATATTCAGGTGACTGTCAGTGCCATGCTAAATTGCCCATAGTGTCCACGGATGTGCAGGCTAGGTAGGTTAGCCATGGGAAATACAGGATTACAGGGATAGGATAGGAATGTAGGTCTGGGAGGGATGCTCTTTGAAGGGTCAGCGTGGACTTAATGAGCTGAATGATCTCTTTCTGCAATGTAGCGATTCTGATTCTCTCAGTTTCTTCCTTTTCCTCTTTCTCCAGCCCCCTTATGAATTAGAGAACTTCTACCATATCACTTGGCCTTCTCTCCAAGGCAAACAATCCCAAATTCTTCAATCTGTCCTGATAACTGAAATTTTCAACCCTGGAACCATTCTTATAAATATTTTCTGCATTCTCTCCAATATACTCACATCCTTCTTATAGTGTGGCACCCAAAACTGCACAAGCTGAGGCCAAGTCAATGCCTTATACAGTTTTGGCATAACCTCCTTGCACTTATACTTTCTGTCCATGTTAGTAAAGCCCAGAATGCTTTATACTTTATTAATTGCTCTCTCCGCCTGTCCGGCCACCTTCGGTGCACATATATACCTTGGTCCAGTAGTGTATCCTTTCTTGTTGGACTGGACACACACTACCGTAGGAAACTCTCCTGCACCCAATCTAGGAACACTTGCCCCTTGCTGCTCCTTATATCACCAGTATCTCCGGTCTATACTAAGGTAACTGAAAATCAATCAATAAAAACTAATCCATAATGTTGGCATCTCGCTGTAATTTCCCTGCAGCTTTGTTCCTGTATACCTTTCCCATTAGTTAATGGTCTATAGATTACACCGAGCAATGTAATTTTTGTTCCTTAGCTCTAGCCAAACTGATTCTGTCCTTGAATCCTCTGAGATACCCTCTTTCTCCAGCACCGCAATGGTCTTCTTAACCAATATCACTGCCTGTTCTCCTTTCTTTCTAATTGTTTTGAACACCTTGTACCCAGGAATATTTAACATCCAGTCCTGCCCCTCCTTGATCCAGGTCCCTGCTATCAGTAAAACATTCGACTTCCACATGGTGATCTGTATCTATAAACCCCCAATCTTAATAATAACTGTAAACTATGCTCTATAAATTCATATGCATGCACACTAACAGTGATTTAGAGGGTATAAATGCAAGTTTTTTTTAAAAATATAATTTCTAAAACCCCTTTCATTATTCCTCCAGTGAAAGTGGAAAAATGTATACTGAAATCTGCTGAGTGAACACAACCTCCAGTATGTACTGGATTGTTGACAATTTTTATTACTCTGTCAAGGGCCTTCCAAAGAAATTTGGGCCTTCCCACTTCTGGCTCTGTAACCGTCAAGAGCTCTCCGTCCTCTATTTATCCAGTCCATCTCTGATTCCCTTCAACTCACTGCTGACCATTATACATTCAGCAGCTCAGGCCATAAGGACTGGAACTTAACCCTAAAACTCTCTGCCCCTCAACTCTCCTTTAGGATGCTTCTTAAAATGTACGTCTTTGGGTCACCTTTCCTCATACCTCCTTCTGTGGCTCAGTCTCAAAGCTGTTTGCTAAAACAGTTGCGGCTTTTTCATTTGTTATAGATACTATATTAACTCCAGTACTGGTCCTACAGCATCTACCTCGGGAGCCAGTTGGATAGTTTGAGTCATTGGCATTGTGTCGCCATTGACTTCAATGGAATGTAAAATCAAACACACTTATAAAATGGATTCAGGCCCAATGCTGTTTTCATTCCCATTGTACAGCTCATATTAAAATTACCCTTCCCCCCCCAAACTTAGCCCAACTCCAGGACACACAGTTTCCAACATAACAATTTGAGAAAAGCTTCCTACCTCCAGCTCTTGGAAGTCATCCTCATCCTCCACATCATAAGACAGGGTTTGGACTTTGTCGTCAGCTGACAGGTCAATGAATTGGCTGTCTCCAAAATCCAGCCCATCCTTTGTGGGGGATCTGCTTTCAATGAAAGTTGTTTCGCAGCAATCTGAACTATTGCTCTCGCTCCAGGGTCTCAGCATGCTCTCAGAGTACAAAATGATATTGGGTCGGTACTGGGCCTCGACGGTGTGCTGTAAGGTACTGGGGTTGAGGACCTGTTGCTGGCCAGAGTCATTCCTGCTCCGCTCAATGTAGTTGTGAGGTGGGAAACTCCCCAGTACGTGTCCCTTGTATTGAGGAGCTGAGTAAAGAGATCCCAACCCATCCTTGCCATCTATCGCCAGGTCTTTCGTGTTGATAAGACCGTTCCTCTTCCCAGTCTCAATGGTTGCTTTATGACTCAAGCCCTTGCTTTCATCTGCAGGTTTCTCCATTTTTTTTTGTCACCTCCTGATTGCTTTGACTTCCCAGTGCTGTCCAAGAGGAAAGGTTATTTAAGTGGCACCCACATTCCACCTCGAGGTCTTCCTCCTGCTGAAAGAACAGAGATATTATGTTGCTTACTACTGCAAATTAGGTTAAAACTCTTGATGCATCCTCAGACTTCCTGGCCACTCTTTTCCCAAAGGTACTCAATTTTCAGATCTCAAATCAACAACTCACATTTTATTAAGGACCTTTAATGCAAGAAAACACCTGAAGATGCTTCAAAAGGAATATTATTGAGCGTAGCTTGAAGCCAAGACACAGAATGAGGTATTAGGACAGCTGACCAAAAGCTTGGCTAAATAGTTAGGTTTGATAAATATTTTAAAGAAAAAATGAGGCAGGTAGCAAAGCAGAGAGGGGGTGTTCAAAACCTGCCAATGGTAGAGGAGGTAGAAGTGAGGAGATAGCACAAGAGGCTGGGTAGAATGATTAGATTGTTACTGGGTGTTATAGTGATGCTTTAGGCAACAGGATGACTTTAAAACAACGTCTGTGTTGGAAACCACATAAGGGTACTGGGGAATTGGAATCTGGTGTGACTGGGACACAGGTAGCAGGATTTCAGATATTTTCGATTTCAGTTTGCAAAATATCATTGAAACTTGGGCTGGTCAAATTTTGCCCTGTTTTGATGAGGTGATACCTTTGGAGACCATGGATTAAGCCGGGTCTTTGGCTTTTTTTTCTCTTCCTGTTGTGGGTAATTCTGGTTTGCAGAAGGGCAAATCAATATTACAACAGGGCTTCAAAAAGGCTCCTTATTCGCATATGGCAAAGGGTTTCAATTAATGGGTGCGCTTTTGCAATTTAGCAGCATGATAGATGGTGTTCTTGTACCTTACACTTCCTAGTTGCCACATTGCAAGCTTAAGTCACTTTGCAGAAATTCATGCACTGAATGATCGATTTCATATGTCATTTTTCTTTATATTTCATTTTACAGTTAATATGATGATCACTATTGTATTTCCAGGGAGCAGCATCACCATCATGTCACAACCACTGGTTGTAATTGTGCTGGTTCACAGCTACCAATCCTTACTTATAGATTTTTAAAAAAATCAACCTGTACAGGTGGGTTATGACGCACTTCTGGGGCAGATGGGACTTGAACCCAGGCCTTCTGGCTCAGAGATTGGGACAACAGCCCTCAGAAATAAAGTTCTACCGAGATTTTAACTCAGATCAGTGGATTCAGAGTATACAGTGTTTACCATTACACCATCGAGTCCACTAGTGGATAACTTGTAGTGTATAGATATTTCAAATCAATCCATTCAAATGTGTCAAAACACATGTCTGGAGGAGACAGGATTTGAACGCTGGCCTCCTGGCTCAAAAGTACGGACAACACAAATATCCCTTTATTTTTAACCAATTTGATCAGGTATGTTATGACACACCTCTGGGGCAGCTAGGACTTGAACCCAGGATTTTCTGATTAGAAGTTAGGGATATTACCATGTTTAAGAGTCTGTTTAATTATCAGTGGTAGATAATAGACGGTCATAATGTCTTAACTATAGGCAATTGTCTTATATAACAAAGTGTAATTAACAGCATAATAGCATTGATATAACTAACATTAACTAGTTATGAGAAGGCAGGATGTCTTGGTTGTCTCCATCAGGATCTCTTACAAGTCTGCCGACTTTTCACCTAAAGACTGTGTAACAGCAACAGATTGAGCTTGAAACATCTCAACATTAACTCTTTCAGAATGATTGCCTGATGCAACAATGACTGTTCTTCATTAATAGTCCAGATACTACACATGGCAGCTTGCTTATGACTGAAATTTGAAATTTGTTTTAAAATGGCCATGCCAGCTGTGTTGTGCATCACGTACTTTTGGACATACTGAACTTTTAATACCAACTCGTGCCTTTTCAAAGAGAACTTCGACACCAAAAGATGACTGTGGATGTAAGCTCAGTGACTGTTGGGTAGACACACAGAATGTCAAAGAGTCAGGGAGACTTAAACCAGTAAGACTAAAAAAGGAAGAGATAATGAAAGGCAGAATACCCATTCTTTTCTCATCAGGAGGCCACCTCTTACAGCTATCCTTTGAGGACATACAAAAGAACAGGGTTAAAGACTAACTGCAGTCTCTGGCCTGTGTGAGCGACCTGACATGCTCATGTGGGCCCTGGTGTGTTGTGAAGGAGACAGCTTGGAACAGTCATTAAACACCTCTGCACTGCAAGTAAAGCAAGTGAAAAGACACTTGCTCACCTGAGCACTGCCAGACAGCCACTGAAAGGAAGTAGAACAAAAGAACTTCAATCAACCTGCAGAAGGAAAGGATCTCAAAATCAATGGCTCAACCACCAACATCACGCTACTGATAATACCCTATTAATGGCCTCAATGCTCTTTGATCTACTGTTCATGATTGAATATTTTGTTTTTATACTTTCTTTTGGACTCACTATAAATTTGTATTTTGCGTGTACGTGCATCATGTCTTTATTTCATCTTGCATTTAGTCACCACTAAACTCACTTTTACGTCAACTCAAGACATCTGGTTAAATTGGATCTATTTTAAAAAAATGTCATTCGTTCTAAAAGAAAGGTACTGTTATAGCTCCCTGGGGTAGTGCTCTGGAAATCAAGCACCAGTATTCCAAGAGACATTACAAAAGCTAAAGGTTTCAAGAAGGTGCGCAAAATTCCTCAGTTTACCTGTATTGTAATCTCAGGTTTATAGGAAGTTCAGGCTAGGTTTCTATACGTAACGGGAATGATTATTTATTACAAATAGATAAACTGTCAGCATATAACTCTTCTAGTTAACACTCCAATCCCCTAACATATTTACCCTCTGCTAACACATACAGCTGGACACAGACACAGCTGTGATGGGCAGGCAGAAAGAGTGGGAAGGCAGTTCAATGGTTTCCATTCACAGGGTTTGCTGACGTGGTCTTTTTGGGTTGTTAGGATGTTCTGTTCCACCTTTCTCCTTCTCCAGATTGTTCACCTGTTTGCAGGAGGTGCAGGGTGGCTTATTCAATGTTGTAAAGTCTCTGGCATATCGGTTGGAGCCACACCTCATAGCAATTGCTGAGGCAAAAACAAAAAACCTTCCTTCAGGCTTCAGGTGTCTTTTCTCACAGATTAAAAACAGTTCATTTCCTTTCTTTCCAGAAGTCCAATGGTTTCTGCCAAACAGTCACAGCTGGTCAGCTACCTGGGAGCCAATCACATTGTTGTTGGCAAGCAGAAGGCCCTTATCACTGATAACTGGTCGCTAGTCCACAGACCAATCAACTACTTGTTGTTGACTGAAGGGGAAGGCAATGGCCTAGTGATATCATCACTGGGCTGTTAATCCAGAGGATCAGGTAGTGTTCTGGGGACCCAGGTTCAAATCCTGCCATGGTAGATGGTAAAATTTGAACCCAATAAACATCTGGAGTTAAGAATTTCTCTGTGAAGTTTGCACATTACATTCTCCCTGTGTCTGTGTGGGTTTCCTCCCACAGTCCAAAGATGTGCAGGCTAGGTGGATTGGCTATGCTAAATTGCCTGTGGTGTTCAGGGATGTGTAGATTAGGTGGGTTATAGAGGGATGGGTCTGGGTGGGATGTCTGAGGGTTGGTGAAGACTTGTTGGGCCAACGGGCCTGTTTCCACACTGTAGGGATTCTATGATCTTGAAGCTCCATTTGGACACAACCCCCAGGTTCCAGCTCATCTGTAACCACTGTTGCACTATTGCTCGACGAGCAGCTGTGTAAATACTGCTCACAATGAGCATCAGGTCATTTGCTTTCAAAAAGGTATGGCTATGCCTTTTTTAATCTTTGGTTTTTAAAACAGTCCTTTTGCCATTTCAATCTGCAATTAAAATTACAGAAAATTAAATACATATGGTCTTTACTGTATCTACAAGGGAAGTGATCCTTATTACATTAACTGTATTGTGATGAACTGAGAGGGCAAATGAATGAAGAAAGGGAGCCAATTCATTCCTCCTCACCTGGGAGCTTGAGAGTTTGGGGTATTCTGTCAGGTAAATTGGGGAACCTCACTGGAGGACTGGTCATAACAATGAATCATAGAGAATCATAAACTCCTTACAGTGTGGAAAGAGGCCATTCAGCCCATCATGTCTGCAGAAATGCTCCAAAGAGCTGCACACCCAGATCCAGTCCCCTGCGCTATCCCTGTAACCCCACATTTACCATGAAGATATAAATAGATAAAATATCAAAAATGTTGTCAGCAAAGGGGCTAAGTCACCAAGTGCTGATGGGATGCATTCAAGGATATGGAAGAGGGAAGTAAGTTTGGAAATTATAACAGTACTGGGCATAATCTTCCAGACCTCCTTAGATACATAGGCCTTCAGGATTCCAAATGTTAAAACCATGTTCAACAAATGGGGATAAAACTTCATAAGTACAGACAAGTTAGTTTAACATTGGCAAAAGTTTGTTGAAATAATAATTGGAAGAAAATTAGCTAATAATCTAGCTAATAAAGAACACAGATTTTAAAAGAAAAGATTCACTCACAGGATGTAGGTGTCGCTGGCTGGGCCTCATCCTTAGTTGCCTTTGAGAAGGTGGTAGTGACTACCTTCTTGAACTATGATAGTCCACATGCTGTAGGTAAACCCACAACACCATTAGGGAGGCAGTTCCAGGATTTTGACCCAGCAACACTGAAGGAATAGTGTTATATTCCCAAGTCAGGGTGGTGAGTGACTTGGTGAGGAACTTGCAGGTGGGTGGTGTTCCCATTATCTGCTGCCGCTGTCATTCTAGATGGAAGTGATTAAGGGTTTTGAAGGGCAGACTGTGTTCAATTACCTGGATTCTGTCTATTGTTGAGGTAACAGAGAAGGCAGCTGAGGACTGTGCAGTTGGTGGCTTATTTCAATATCAAAAAATCTTTGGTAAGACACCGGATCACAAATGCACTAGCAAAACT